CAGGGCAACACAGTGATACTCTGGAAATCCCTCAAATCACGACTTCATATTTGTTCCGAAAACCATACATAGAACTGAGGATGTAACATATCAGTTTGGAATTATACAGCAAGATCTTGTACCATTATGCTTTCATGGGTAATAAACAGCATTACTTACAGAAGAAAAGAAAAGAAAGACCCCGACTTTCTTATTACCTATAACTTACACATTCGACAAACCAATAACAATAAGAATTCAAACATTTCAACAGAATATTCAAGACAAACTGAACCAATGTTTCAAAATTGCTTCTTTACGATCAACTCACAGTTTCATGCCTGCAAAGTTCTAATTTTGCTGCTTTGAGTTCTCCGCGGAGAGCTGAGAGGAAGTTTCTGCGAAACTTACTGCAGGGGCGGATGTCATGGTTTGATATTGCGCAGACAATTGGGGAGCAAGAGGCTGACTATAGTACATCTTAGCATGTGGATCAGCGAAATCATAAGCATAATTGGCGGTGGTGGCTGAAGTAGGAGGAATTGACTGAGAAGGATGATGAATCTGAGAGTAGTTCACGTATTGTGGCTGATGCTGGCCTGGAGTGATCTGAACTAATTGTGGAGCCGCTGAAGCTGAAGTTCTGTATGTACCAGCAACCATTTCAGGATTAGATGACGGAGGATTTCTAGCCGGATTATAAGCTGATGCCGGATTGGCCATAGTAGGAGGTGTTTGGGGACGAGTAGGAGGGACTGTTTGAGCAGGCTCGGTATAATTTGTTTGTTGCAATGGCAAACTGTAACCTTGGCCTGGTCTAGCAGGAATAAAATAAACGGGATACTGGTGCTCAAGATTCGGGTGTTGCATATGTGTTTGGTGCTGTGAAGGGTACATAGGATAGTAGGACGTCATAGGGACATGCCCCGAAGGTGTATGTTGAATATACTGCCCAGCATGAACATATTGTTGGGGTTGGAGCATTTGTGGATGCTGCTCATATTGTACTGGCAATGCATATCCACCACCACCATCCTGGACTTGCTGTTTCACCTGAACCCTTCCCATCGAATCACTCATATTCAGATCAGCTGAATTACCTGTAATCCTACCGCTCCCCGACTGGAAATGAACCCCTGGATCTTGATAAAAGTAATGTCTTTGCCTACCACTACCCTCACTGCACCAAATTAAATCAAGATCTTAAAAACAGTCCACACCAGTCAGGGAAAAAGACATAACAGAAGTACAGGCAAAAACAAATAATAACAAAAATATCTAATAGCAACTAAACACAAACTACAACAGAACACGGATAATCGAGGGACAAGGGACAACAGATAGTAACAAAAATCAGAGGATAAGAAACTACAGGTACAATACTACTACCTATGTTGCTCGGACTCTTCAAAATGTCAACGGTACGTGAAGGATTCACCAAAAGTAGTGTATTTTTGAAGAATCCGAGACAGGTGGGCATCAAAAGTGAAGAGTCCGCGCAACTACGACTACTACTACCAATATAAATAGACAACGCCCTGCTTCCCACTATTCATCTACTCTAAGCTCCGAGGAAAAGACACTAGAAGAGTCATACTGCTACTACTAATATGAGCAGACAACAAGACAACGCCCTGCTTCATACTAACCTTCAACTCTAAGCTCTGAAGACAAGAAACTGCAGGAACAATACTACTACTATCTACCACTAAGGCTCCTAAGGTTTGCATATACTCTCTACCATTCCCGACCTCGCTTTGTAGGACTACACTGGTTATCTTGTAAATGCACCATTTCTCAGTCTCAGACAATTAATATGTTTCAACAAACAGATACAATTTGATTCTTGCAAAAAGATCAGATTTTTTTAGAGAATTTTACCTTGAAACTGAATCAGGGGAAGGCAAATCAGATGGAATAACAGGCTTTGACATCAACTGCTGAGGCTGCTGTACCTGTTGCTGCTGTTGTTGCATCATCTGTTCAACCACCGGCACACCAGAAACAACAGTCGCCGTCACTACAACAGCCGGCGCCGGCGGTGAAGCTAAACCCAAAAATCCCCCTTCCTCATTCTTCTGCTTAACCCCAACAGTCATCTGTGCAAACTGCTCCTCAATTCCACCTCCCTTTTGACTCTCTTCAACATGAACCCTAATCGGCGGCAAATTCGCCAGCGACGGCATAGACGATCCCGACCCAAAAGACGACGTCGTCTCAACCATCGGTGAATCCGGCACCGATTGAACATCATGTATAGTACCTTTCACACTATTCCCACCATTTTTTACCTCTAATTGAGCTTCTACTTCCTTAATATTCGCATTTCCTAAATCATCGTCTAAACCCAGAAGGCAATTCACTGAAGAAGATTCAGAAAATACCTTTGTTGAAGCAGTAGAATTTGCCCCATTTAAAATATTCACAAACCAATCTTCAGATCTCACTGAACTATCTCTAATCATACCAATTGAAGGATTCCATGAATCAATTTTACTCGGAAACAGAAACAAACGAAGCCGAGTAATTTTAGAAGACGAACTCATGCGATCGTATTCATCGATCATGTTTTCCAGATCCTCATCGGAGGTAACGGAGATAAGTGAATCAAGGTCCTCGTTCTGAAGCTGATACTTCAAGCAAAAGGGTTTCCCTCCGAGAAGGGTTTTAGAGAGCCGAGCAGACAACTCAGCCAAAGAGCTGTTACGATCGGCGACGAAAATGCGGGTGTCACCGCCGACGTAGCAAAGAGTTTTGTCGTGAGGACGAGGGAATATGTGTCCTCCATAGCTGCACATTAACCGCAGTTTCCCGCCGGTGGTAGTGGCGGCGGTGTTTGACGGCTGCTGCTGCTCGTCCCAGGAATCAGTGTGGCGGGATCCCGGTGAAGAATCTGCCGAGTCTGCATAATTGATGGTTCCCGACGGTGGCACAGCTGCCGTCGCCGCCGTGATTGGTCCGCCGGAAAACGGTGGAGGGTCCATATAGGAAAGAGACTTGAATAAAAGGGAGAGAGAGAAAAAAAGAAGATAGTTTTGCCAGAGCTGTTTTTTGCTTTATAGTCCTCACAGCTGTTTTGCTAAACAATTTTTTCAAAAAAAATATTTTGTATTATTTTAGGAGACTGAATACATATATAACTAATAATAATCCAATTAAATTTGAAATTAGTTTTATTAAGATACTTGAATTATTGTTTATATCAATTAAGTATCTGAACCCTGGTAAAATTCAAACGAGAAAAAGACTTACGATGATATCTAAGCACTATGAAGCGAGGAAGGGCGTAGTAATCGATGAAATGTTTCGATTACTTAAAAATAAGCATAGATTTGAAAATTTCCGAATAGGACAATCTTTTAAACTGTTACCGAATTCTTTTATTAAATTCTTTCGGTTCAAATTTTAGAAATATTTTAAAGCTAATCTCAAATATATGCTAGTTAGCTAATTTAACCACAATAAACAAGTCATCTCCATTAGTCATATGCTTTCGCCTAAGTTGGACTAATTTTAAATTTTATAAGATATTTGAGATTAATATATATAATTAAAGAAAATTGATATATTTCAAGCGATTAACTATTAATCGAAATTATGCTAAAATCTAGTAAAAACATGAATGTATGTTTTTGGAGGGACCCACATATATATATATATTTTTCTCTTTGGCCCTTACCATGTGGGTCCTACTTTCTAGTCTCTAAATTAGCACAAACACAACTTGCAACTTGCTTGTTTAGACTAGGGAGTATACCAATATAAAAAGTTTAAATAAGTTATAAAAATATTTAATGGTGTAAAAAATTAATTTACTTATAGAATCGTAAAGAAATAAATAAAATTTCTTCACTTTTAATTTAAAAATTTAAAGTTAACTTTGACAATGAAACAACTCTTTGAAGAGTGTTGAAAGTTTTAAATTACAAGAATCTGAATTATATTATTTTTTATAATTATTTTGAAAAGTGTTTTTTGTTATAAATACTTTCTCTTTTAAAATTAAAAAAAAAAGCATCTTTGACTAATCAATTTAAAAATTATGTTAGTCAATATTAGATTAATATTGACCTAAGTGAAATCAACTATATGAATCCTAATCAATTTTAGAATTAAAATTTAAAAAAATGTATTATAATCTGAAGAGAAAGTAAAAGAATAAACTTCCTATTAAAATTATAATTTCTTGTATTTTTAGTGTCTCCAAAAATTTGTTTAACTAAATATCCAACAACTCCTTACACTCTGTTTGGTTCTCTGGTAATTATTGTATTGTATCGTTATCATATTTATAATAATTGTTTTGATTATTATGGTGTTGTATTGTTACATCGTTACGTAATAATGAAAATTTCTATTTTATGAAACAATCGATTTGGTACGTTTCCATTGTTACCAGAAAAAATTCTAATTATATCCTCGCATTATATTTCATAATACTTTTTTACCCTTTAACCTGTATTATTTAATTATAGTCAAACCTCCTACCCTAGAATAACTAAGGATATTGTAGTATATCTATAAATTACAATCAAACCAAACAATAAAAATGTTATTAAACAGGAACAAACAATACAATCTAATAAAAAATTGTACCTACCATACAGTACAATATAATAGAGTACAATACAATACAGTACATTATAAAACAATGTGTAACAATGATCCAAACAAAGCATTAAGCGAGACCTATAAAAAAATTAATTTAAATGAGTCGATAATATTAAGAAATTCATACATTTTAAGCGTAAATTGATCGATAATTTTTTATTTTTTTATTTTGAAAAAGTTGTCAATACACATTTTTTTATTTAATATAGACATTTCATGTTGGAGGTTGGTATGAGGCCCATATAGATCAGGCCCACTAAGGATACTAATAACCAACATTACCTAATTTTGATCTCAACTAACATGTTTTTGGCGTAATGGACGGGTTAAATTGAATTTGATCTAATAAAAAACACGTCAAGTAAATAAACGAGACGGTCAATCATAAAAGTTTATTTGAGCTAAAAAGCAGATCATAACTCGATTCGATCGATTCTTACTAAATTTTAATTTCTTTGCTTGTTCATTTTACATATTTCCAAATACCTAATAGAACTTTGCTATAGATATAAGCATAAGTATACAGTGTTTATACATGTCTCATATTCTGCCATTCTCCACATCCTCAAAAGCAATGGTAGTTGTACCAGATTGCTGATTCAGTTGTACCTCGGAATGTTCTACCTCTACTCCTCCGTTGGTAGGGGTGGCGTGTTGTCTGCTAACACGAACCTCCTCCACTGCCCGGAAATATGCATATGGTCCCCATCCTGAGAACAATGAAAAAAATGAACATATCGCGTTGATTTCAGAATTTTGTCCACTGTAACAGTAAAATCACGTAAAGGAGATTAGCAATGAAAAGGGGGGAAATAGTTGGAAATTAGAAGAGAAACGCGATTGTGCTTTGGGAATGCTAGTGATACTATATGTGTAGTTCAAGACAAAAGCTTAGTAATATGATAAGCATAAGGTATACTAATTGACTACGAGTGTAATAAGAGCATCAGTCGACAAAAGGATCATGTTAAGATGATCGGAGCTTTTCATTGTTTAAGGGAAATGCGTTGAGAAAGAGGAGATGCAGTACTATAGAACCTTTCAACGAGATAGTGCTTTTTTCAACGCTATCAAAATGGAATATATGTCAAACATAAGCTAGATACTAGTCAATACTAACAAGATCTTATTTGTAACGAGTGGTTTTGTTGGTTGACGACTTTAACTTAACATGGTATTAGTCTGGATACGACAAAATAATTCGAAGTACCTTCAGTATGGTATGGAGCTGGGAAGAACTGCAGATAACAGAACGCTGCAACGAAAAGACCTGAAATGTGAAACGACATGGAGTTTAGTATTTATGAAATGAAACGTAGCCATCGTGTACTTCAAAATGTTGAATTTGATCAAGACGAACCTATCAGTCCTCCAGCAAATACGTCTTGCCAATGATGCCAGTAGTCATCCACACGTGAGACCCCGACAAGAGATGCCATTAGAAGAGGAAGAAAAACTATGCATAGTTTAGCTATATGCCCTCGTCGATCAAATGCTTTAATCTTCCCAGCCAAATACAATGATAGAAACCCGAGACCAGCAAATGATGCTGCAAATAAGAAGCCATATTTCGTTATATCAGACTCTTTTGTCGTCCCACTAAAGAAAGAAAGATTATACGAGAATTCAGACCACTTGTATGTCCGCTTGGGAAACTCTTATGTCCTTCCTTAATATCACTTTCTTTACCATGACATTTCACGTTTCCCCACCGATCATACTCCTAAACAACGAAATAAATCAATCGAAAATTACTACATAATCGAGCACCAAGTTAAGCAATATGCATTCTTCATGGCTTTCACTATCATATCAGATAAACGTAACGGATACATACATCTTTACCATCAGGAAAGCAACGCCAGAAAAAGTCTGGTCGAGGACGTCCTACTCCATTCTTGATGGCTTCAGTAACTACAGCTGTAATTAGTATGGCAAATAAAATACCTGCAATTTTCGGACAAGCCTAGGCGTAATTAGTAAAGTCACATCTACTCGATGTTTCAACCCTTACAAACTCTAGAATGAAAATTACCTAAAATGCTGTGGTGCAGATCATAAACGTCCTTCCTCCGAAGATAGATGAAAACGAAGATTATAATAGGCAATAACACTGCATATAGCTGTTCATTAGAGAAATCAGTTACAAAAGAAAAACACTACAAACTCCGCGATTTGATTACAAAAAATTGAAATTTGCAAGTGTAATCAGCACTCTGCCTACTTCAATGTTTACGTTACAATACTCACAGGAATAGACCACGCTGGAACTGTATTATCTTTCATCGGATATTTCAGATCAGTCATCATATCCTTCCCAACAAACCGATGAAATGGACCGATGACATTAAGAACTATAGCTATAACAACAAGCAGTAGCAATATAAGCCAGTCGTGGATGTGAATTCTTGCAACGGATAAACCATGAGACTTAATAGTATGTCCACATCCGCGCTCAATCTCATGTGTATTACCCTGCTTCATTCGAGACAGACATATAAATACGTGTTGTTGCAAAACAAAATCAGTATTCGAATTGATACTTCATTCGACGAAAACATTCTAACAACCAAAAGTACTCTTAGCAAAGTTTGCAAAACCAGAACGAACAAGCACTTCGTGTTGAACTACACGAAGTGTTAATCATCAGGCATATTGGGAATACAGCAGCAACAAACATCTATGCCTCAAAAACAAGCAAGTTAGGGTCGGCTATATGAATTTTCACTGTCAATATCAGTCGATTTAAGCTTATCTTAGTCCGGTTAGAGTCTACTGTAGGAAGTCTTACCCTGCATTTCTGCAAGAGGCTATTTCCACAGCTCGAACGAGTAACCTCTTGGTTACATAACAACAACTTTACCAGTTACGTTAAGTCTCCTCTCCCTTCTACAAAGTTCATCCATATATTTTCGAATTATCTTCCTCGAGCACTAAATTATACCGATTGAATCAAGATCATTAACACCATAGTTCAATGCCCCAAATTCTTCCTACAAAGAAAAGGATTTTTTCATCCTAAAATCCGCGGATTATTAGATGAACGTATTATTTGTTGTTCCTATTGTTCGTTTCTCTATTATTTTCTACATGACTTCTTCACTACTGTATTTCCTTTTCTTACTATTTCGATAGGTGTCTATCAAAAACAGCATCTCTACCTAATACAGTATTACGAGTAACACGTTGCATACACACCACCCTCCCCAAATCCCGCGGAGTATGTTGTTGTGCAAGAGAAACAACAATTTCATAAACAAAACAAGAAATCAAAAACTAAAAATCAAACAAAGCAAAAAAAGGCTAACAAACCTGAAATACAGCTCTAATCTTATTTTTCCAGCTCATTTAAGCAGAGCTAATATTTCAATTACAGAGAATCTTGAGAACCTAAAATCCAAAAAAAAAAAACACCAAAAATAGTAAAAGAAACAATATTTATTTAGCAAATATATGATATGATATGATCTCAAGAAGGACTAATATAGAATCATAAGAAGAACAAATTTGACTTCTCAAGAAATTAGTTAATTAATTAATTGTGTTAAATTAAACATTAAGCAATGAAAATTAAGTACCCTTTTGAAGTTTCAAACTTTAGCAATGGCAGAACAGTAGTCAAATGTTGAGTGGAATTTTAAATTCCATGAACCACTTGTCCAAATAATATACATTACTTTATTATTTTTCGATTTTCAGTAAGACGTTCGGACCCCATATTAAAATCTCGAATAAATTTAGATCGCGCAATATGTCAATTTTGGATGGCGCTTTCAATAAAAATTTTTCCATACCTAAGACTCAATTATGAAACCTTTGATTAAGGGTGAAGCAGTCTCACCACAACCCATATTGATATATGTATATAGGTATTGTACTCTCTCTATTTTATATTAATTGAATTTTTGAAAAAAATTTCATTGTTCAAAATAATCAAATGTTATAACATTCAAGTACGATGTTCAAATTGTTTTTTTTATAGTTGTTTTTCCAAGTTACATTTATAATTTCACAAAATAACAATAGGGGAAAATATGATCTAAATTATGTTTTTGAATGTTTTTCTTAATAAGTGTATATTATTCCAAAAATTCAATTAATATGAAATAAATGGAGTAATATTTTAGTGAGGGATTCGAACAGTAGTAAACCTAAAATTTTTGTTCAGGGAGTTTGAAGGATAAAAAAAGTATATATATAAGTCAAGAATTTTTTTTTTAAGAAAGTAGTAATATACAATTTTAGTTACGGGCTCTTGAATTGTACTGTTAGGCTATCTCTTTCACTTGTTATCGAGGGGTTCAAAATATATATATCTACATAAATTCAAAAAATATATCTTATATATATAATATAATTTTTTATCGAGGGAATTCGAATGAACCTTCTAGACGACACTTGGCTCTGCCTCTGAGTTTAAATAGTGATGGAAGCAGGATTTTCAATTAGTGAATTAAAATTTGAAAAAGTAAATAAATGAATTAATCGAAAGAAGTTCAATGCCATTATATATACATAAAAAAAAATGAATTTAAACATGTAAAAATAATAATATTTTCGCTCAAAATGAAATCGTATGAACCCCTAACAATATACTGACTCCTCCTTGGCCCCTCATAGAATTCGATTAGATAGTGATTGCAAATACTTGTTAATCAGTTTTAAATATCAAAAATAAAAATCACAATCACAAATTAAGAAACTATTTGACTTCTTAAAAATTATTCAATTTATTCTTATATTTAGTATAGCTATAAATAAATATTATTTGATATTTATATAATTAACCACTTGAAAATCTATCAATTAACATGAGAAAATTGTATTTAAAGTTGAGAAATTATTGGATAAGAAAGTTGGTGGCATCTGAGCTGTTTTACTTATTGGAGACAGATAGATAATTTATTATAAATTTAATAATAAGAGATGGATAGGGTAATTTCAATTTTATAAATTTTAAATTTTTAATAATAATTTTATGCGGTAAAAAATTGATTCTAAATTTAATAATTATACATGTTTAATGAATGTAAGATAAATATACCATTTGAGCAAAAGTTAAGTTATTTGATTTGATTAAGCGCGTATCAAAACTTTTAGCTCCGCTCTATCAATATTAATGTTCCATCTTTTTGTCATTTGTAATTAAAAATAAATAAATAATGTCACAATAAGGAGAAAAAAATTAAATTCTAAAATAAATTGTTTATGATTATGTTACTAATCATGACGGTGGGATGTATATAAGATTTTTCTAAACACGGATTTAGATTTTAAAGTTTATAAATTTTTATAACAGTTTTAGGTTAATATTGTAATAATAAATATGATTATAGTTAAATGTCTATATGTAGTTATTGAATTTTTTTATATTTGGTGGACTCGTAAATTATAACTGATCCTTACGTTTAATCAAATGTATTAGGTTCGAGCATTAGAAATAAAAAAAATTTAATCAAAAGTATTTTTGTCTTTAATTACCTTTTTACAATACGAATTTAAATTAATCGATTCAGTAAAATATTAATTCCAAATGACTATCACAAGAAAAATAAATTAATAAGTGAAACTTTTTAGAAAAACAAACATATAATAGAGATACAATTTTTTTTAATTTTATTTTATTTGTAAAATATTATGTGAAACTACTGAGAAAGCTAGATTATTATTGGTCAACCAATTTCATTAATTTATATTCTTCCATATATTTTTCTTGTCAAATATTGAAGTTGAAAAATTACAACAAGGAAGAAAATTAAAGAATTAAGCTTCTTTCAAAGCTTTTTGTTTATTTATTCATTTATTTCCCATAATCATTTTCAATATTAAATTAAAAAAATTTGATTCAAAATGCTTAAAATTTTCAACTACGGTCATGTCATAATTCGTAGCAAAATAAAAAATTTAAACGAGTGAAATTCAAATGAAATTTAATTAAAAAATAAAATTAAGATAAAATTCTGATATCATTTTATAAACACGTCATGATACTAAAGATATAAACTTCATTCATATATAACAAAGAGTTTTTTTGTTTTTTTTTTTAATTTCCAGCAAACATGGCTCAACTATTTAAAAGTGTCTATATATTTTATATTCAATAAAATAAAATAACCTACCTGTATTTGATTCTCCAATAAAATTTTATAAACGTAACGCGATTTTAATTTTGTTGGCATTAATATATTAAATATATATATCTTTTTAGAAAATTACTGCAAAAATTAATTAATTAATAATATCCCACCAACATTGTGCCAAACTTTTAGCATGTGTTCTGTTTGACCTAATCCAATGGCTTAATTAATAGAGTTGAGCCCCCACCCCTCGAAATGATAATAATGCTATACGATAATAAAATATTTTGAAATTTATTTTTATTGAAAACAATTGCAATTCATATAACCCATAATGTGATATATATATATATATAAGTTTGTTCTATTATAGAGAAAAATATTTGTAAATATTATTTGAAAGTCCAAATATTTGACACAAAATCTTTCAACTTTTTGGCATTCTTTTGGTAGATATTTAAATACAAACTTTGTATAATATATGAGTATTATTTTCAGTAACTTAAAGACAAGTAATTAAATATATTAAGGAAATAATTATTTTTTACTGAAATATAAAATTAAATATCAACTACGTGATGACCTCGAGCAACAAAACCAATAAGTTTCAAATTTCTCTACCTAATCTTTTTTTTTTTTTTGTAGATTAGTCAAAGAAATTAAACAGAAAAGGCCATAAGATTTTTGTTGACTAAAGCAATTGGACTTATTTAAATTCAATTATATACATGATTTATTTTGGATTTTATAAAAGTTAAAATCAATGACATGTTAGACACAAAATTTATATTTAAAGGAAAGTCCCATTGTTTCAATACTAATTTAATCGATTGATTGTCTGAATTTTTTTAATTAAAAAATATTGAATTCTAATAATGAAACGATATGTCACATAATTAAAGGTAGAATTTAATAAAAAAATACATTTTACAATACAGATAAAGGTAAAAGACTCTTAAACTTCTCTTCATTAATTTTTCGAAGAGTGCAAAAGAAAAACACGACATAATTTAAGATAAGATGAAACAATATTTACTCAATAAATTCATAAAAGATAATATCCCTCCTGTTTCTAAAAGAATGATTATTTTTATTTTTGTCATAAGAATGATTATTTTTATTTTTTTGACAACAAGTTTTCATTTTTTTTTACTATATTTAAGATTACAAAAATAAAAAATTATTTTAATACTTTAGGCACAAGTTAATTTAGGATTATCACATTAAATTATTTTTATTTTAAAATTTTTTTATATCAAATTAAATTATTTTTTTAACAAAAAATATCAATTCAACTTGGGTAGGTCCTACACGTCGACAGTTATAGCCTCGAAACTCATAAATAACCAACCAAGTCTTCATTATCTGACCAAATAATTTAACATATTTGACAAAATCAACTGCTTTCATTTATAATCGATATAAATTGTGATAGAATAATTAATTAATATTTTATTTATATTTAATTAAATTTTATTATCAATATCAAACTCTTAACGAAAAATCAAAAAAAAAGAAAGTCTTTGATCTTTGGAATCTTCTATCCATATTTTTACAAATTCAATTTTCAAAAATAAAAGATTGTGAACTTTCCATGTAACTCGGCACCATATTTCATATATTTGTTGAAATTTTTTTATTTTTATTTTTTGTAAGTCTTAAAAACTGTCTCCTAAAGAAGAAAAATCAATTATTCAAAATTCTTTTCATACTTTATTTTTTTTTCATCTTTGTCTTGTGTAGTTATGGTCTGCCATTGCTAAAGATTGAAGCTTTTATCTTCTTTTAGGGACCCATTTGAACTATTCTTTTGTTTCCCCAGTAAATATCTGCTATAAAAAGGTACCTTTCAGTGCTTAATCTTTGATTTGACACCATTAATTTCCTTTTAAAAAGTCAAATTTATTCTTATTGTGATGTATATTTGTCAGTCTTGAAAATCATATCTGTAAGGGTTTGTATTCTGTCTTAGTTTTGGTGGGTTTTTGTTGTTTCTGTTTCTTTTGATGTGTGATGTACTTTTTTCTCTATTTTCTTGTTGAAAAATTGAGTCTTTAATCAGAAACTTGATGAAAAAATTGAATCTTTATAATTAGTCTAAATTGTTCTTATGAGTTATGATGATAGTATTTGTCATTTCTAGAAGGATTCTTTGCTGATAAGGTCTGTGAGTTTGGATTCTCCATTTTATTCTTTCTTGCCTCTTTGTTAAAAATTTTCCATTCGATGTTCGGTACCTAGGTTTGAGTTTAACTAATTCAAATTCGCATTGCTTAGGGCTCATTTTTGGGTTCTTTCCATATATCGGGCCGAAAAGAGCAGTCTTATCTACTGCACCACATTGTGCGGTGATTCTTTCTTGCCTTATGTACTGCCATTGCTAAAAGATTGAAACTTTAACTTGTGGGGGGACCCAATTGATTATTATTTTGCTTCTTTAGAAAATATTTGCTAAAGAGGGTACTGTTCAATGTTTGATTTAACACCATTAATTTCTTTTAAAAATTTCATTATTGTTCTTATGATGAGGCTGATAGTCAGTTTTGGTGTCATATATCTAGAAGGATTTTTTTCCCTTGTAGAAATGGTGGGGTCTTGGGTTTTTACTTTGATATGTGTTACCTGAGCCGACAGTCTTTCGGAAAACAACCTCTCTACTTCCACGAGATAGGAATAAGGTTGGTGTATATTCTACTTTCCCCCAACCCCACCTGTAGGATTTCACGGGGTATGTTGTTATTTTTATCTTAAAGTCTTTTATTTCATACTGTATTATCTCTCAATTTTCTTCTTTTCTTGCCTTGTGTTCTTCCATTGTTAAAGTTTGAAGTTTTATCTTGTGGGGACCCATTTGAATTATTCTTTTGTTTTCTTAGCAAATATCTGCCAAAAGGGTACCTTTCAGTGCTTAATGTTTAATTTACTACCATTAATTTCTTTCAAAAAGTCAAAAATGGTTCTTAATGATAGTAGTAGTCAGTCTTGATATAATGTAGAAGGATTCTTTGCTGATAAATCATGTTTCCTTTCTTAATCTCGGTTAGTTTTTTTTGGGTTTCTTCTCTTTTAAAGGCTTAGTACTTCACACTGTATTTTTTTCCCTAAATTTTCTTCTGTGACTGAAAGATTGAAGCTTTAAGGCATAAACTTGTGAGAACTCATTTAAAAATCTTGTCTTTTTTTGTTAATTTTGGTGGTTTTTTGGATTTTAGATCCCAAGAGATTGGACTGAAGTATCAACAGTGCTTAAATGGGTTGGAAAGACAAGATTAGAACTGTGTTTCAGGTTTGTTGGCATTTTTGCTGTGTTCTTTTCCCATGTTTTCATGATATCCATATTTTTTTAGTTTGATTTCTGGTTCTGCTTATCAATGCTGTTCCTATTTTCATTCTCTTGCAATTAATCGTTTAGTCGAGGGTCTGGCGGAAACGATCGGTTTACCTCCCAAGGTAGGGGTAAGGTCCATGTTGACTCTTCCTTCCCCATACCCCACTCGTGGGATTACACTGCATGTGTTGTTGCAATTGTCCTTTACTCGTTGGCGTATGGTACTTAATTGTTTTGACTGTCTTATTTAGCAGCAATAATGTTAATGATGAAAAATCCAAATTTTGTATGGGATGAGAAGAATTAGGGGGGTTGAACTGTGGGGTTCTTGATGTAGATTCAATCAGTGCAATTTAGTGCTCCAGTAAGATAATGAACGAAATCTGTAGTGATATTGAAAGATCTTTTAGTGATGATACTGTTTATTTTATTGGTATATCTACAACTATTTCTTTCTGCGGGATATTTCAGCATGTTGTGGTTAAAGAGGTCTTGTTTTCTCCTGAAAACATTTGAACATTACATTTAATCAACAAATTTTTGTTACTGATTCCCATTTCTGTTGATTTGCCAGTTGAAAATATATTAAAAAAACGTTATGTTTACTCTTAATTCTTCTCCTACGCAAAACTGGACCAAGATTAGCGTAAATGGACTGATATGAACAGTGAGGATTTGTAGCCAACCCAACTTGCTTGTTTTTGAGGCATAGATGTTTGTTGTTGCTGTATTCCCATTTCTGAAGATTATGTTGTGTGGTTCAAAACGAAGTGTTTATTCATCTGGATTTGCTAACTTCAAATTACTTTTGCTTGTTAGAATGTGTTATCAATGAACTATCAATTTGTATACTAATTTGTTTTTGCAACCGTACGTATTGATATTACTGTTTCAAATGGAGCAGGGTAATACAAATGAGATTGAGCTTGGATGTGGACATACTATTAAGTCTCATGGATCATCAGTTGCAAGAATTCACATGCATGACTGGCTTATATTACTACTGCTTGTAGTAATAGAGGTAGTCCTTTATGTCATTGGTCCATTTCACCGGTATGTTGGAAAGGATATGATGACTGATCTGAAATATCCCATGAAAGATAATACGGTCCCAGTGTGGTCTGTTCCCGTGAGTATTCCTTTTGTTTTTTCAACATATACAGTCGAGTATCAATGTAATGTATGTAATGTACGGAAAATTAATTGCTCTAATAGTACATTGAAGCTTCTATTCTACGATAGAATAGAGGTGCAGGAGGAGTGCTGATTACACCGTGCTTGCAAATTTCAAAAAGTTCAAATTTTTGTAATCAAGTCCCGGGGTTTCTAGTGTTATTAACAGATTTCTTTTATGAACAGCTATATGCAGTTGTATTACCTATTATCATCTTTATTTTCGTTTATCTTCGGAGGAGGGACATCTATGATCTGCACCACAGCATTCTAGGTAATTTCCGTTTCAGCGTTATTTTCCCCGTAGTACAGATTGAAATATCGAGTAGAAGTGAATTTTGTCTCTGACTTTGTTTTCATTGCTGTTGTACAAGGAATGTTTTCCTGTTTGGTTTGCCAAGTAACTTTACTAACTGCATTAAACTTGTTCAAAAATTGCAGGCCTCTTATTTGCCGTTCTAATTACGGCAGTAATCACGGATGCCATCAAGAATGGAGTAGGCCGTCCCCGACCAGATTTTTTCTGGCGTTGCTTTCCTGATGGTAAAGATGTATGTATCTTACTCTCCCAATCTGCCTGATTCGAGAAGTTTTACCTTTTTCCCCTATTAAGGGTTAGCTTCTTAGTGCATTTCTGTTTGACTTGTGTTTATCTGATAGTGAAAGCGCTTTTCGTGATGAACGATGATCATAACTGTAATACACTTAAAAGTGTATTGCTTAGAGTGGTGCTCAACTCCATTGTAAGACGATTGATTTATTTTGCGGTTCTTTTTTCAGGAGTATGATCAGTGGGGAGACGTAAAATGCCATGGTAAAGCAAGTGATATTAAGGAAGGACATAAGAGCTTCCCAAGCGGGCATACCTCATGTATGTAGCTCAACTTTCTCCGTTTCCACTATCCATGTACATTAAATCAGGATTTCCGAGATATCAAGAAAATTTGAGTTCTTCTTTTGCAGGGTCATTTGCTGGTCTCGGGTTTCTATCGTTGTATTTAGCAGGGAAGATTAAAGCATTTGATCGCCGAGGGCATGTGGCAAAACTATGCATAGTTCTTCTTCCTCTCCTAATGGCATCTCTTGTTGGGGTCTCACGTGTGGATGACTACTGGCATCATTGGCAAGACGTGTTCACTGGAGGAATGATAGGTTCGTCTTGAAATTCTACATTAACATTAAACGAGGGCTGCGTATCATTTGATGAATACTAACTCCATGTGTTTCACATTTCAGGCCTTTTCGTTGCTACATTCTGTTACCTGCAGTTCTTCCCTGCTCCATACCATACTGAAGGTACGTTCTTCACTAATCTCCTCCCGCTTTAATTACATTTTGTGTAGTAATTCCTCGCGCTTAAACAAACCTTTCTCCAATCTTTTCGATTTTGTTATATCCTTAGTACTTCAAAATATTCCGTATCCAGACTAATACCAAGTTAATTACACCCTTTCGTTGAAAGGATCTATACATCTGCCCTTTCTCAACTCATTTCTTGAAACAAAGAAGATCCAATCATCTAAGCCTGATCTGATCATATATTCCAATCGCATTTTCTTCTAATTTCCTATGGATTTGCTAATGATCTAGGAGAAGGCATTGCACCAAATCTCCTCTCCGCAACTTTACTGTTACAGTGGACATAACTCTGAAATTAACCCGATATGTTCATTTTTCTCGCTGTTCTCAGGATGGGGACCATATGCATATTTCCGGGCTGTGGAGGAGGTTCGTAGTAGCAGACCACACGTCCACCCTACTAATGGAGGATTAGAGACGGAACATCCTGAGGTACAACTGAATCAGCGAACGGGTACAACTCCCAATCCATTTGAGGATGTGGAGTATGGCAGAATGTGAGACATAGGAAACTGCTTATATTTTTGTTCAAAGTATTTTAATTGGCACAGTTTGTTATTTTCTTGTGAATATTTATGTTTGTTTTTGTTAAGTATTTTAGCTATAGGGAACTATTTGATTACTGAAATTGTTTTAATCAGTGGCAAGTTCTTTTTTTTGTGTGTGTGTAATTTGTTGCATAATTAGTTTATTGGTTGATAATTTTGTCATTATTTCTTTCATTCCTTGAGCTAAAGATCATTTTGTTAGTATGGAATTGATTTTAGTACTTAAAAAGGAAAAATGAAGGTGCTATAACCCAAGTTGCGAGAAAATCTCAAATATCTGGAGTTTCTTTTTGTATATTATATGGATAATCCGATTCGCAAGGACCATGATTGGAAATTGATCAGTCATCTTCCTCTGAGGAATAGTCGAAATAAAAGTGTATAGTACGATGAAAGTTATAAGTTGTGTTTGGTTTGGGGGTGGGGGTGGGTCTATCGTTGGCCTCTATGTTAGAATCTGATTTGAAAGGACACAAACAAGTTGCTACTGACTGCCTCAATGGTAGAATATGACCTGAAAGGATACCAACAAGTTGCTATTGAACGTGAACAAAGTCAAGTGATGGAATCAACTGAATATAATTAGTTTTTTTTTACGTCAATCTTCTTTATTGATGTCGTATCCATATCAAATTCTCCCAAAATATATTACGTTTGTAGAATTTGACACACATTCATTGACGTAGCAACACAAGTTATAACATGTAAATTCTAGTTAGGTTCAAAATACAAAAATAAAATAAAAAATCCGACAATCGACACATATGACGTGTGTTTATACATCTGGCTGTGTAGCCTAGTGATCAATAAAACTTGAAGACAATTATGAAATTTAACTTAGAATACCAACAGAAGCAAAATGCGAAAATATAGTAGTATGTTAATTTTTTTCATCTGCCTTATTTTTGATGGATAAATTCTCGATACTTATATAGAACGATAATTTTTTCTTTCGACAAACTAGGGCAGAACTAGAATATATGAAGTATATTTTAATTTTATATTTATTTTAAGAAATCTATTTAATATACATAAAATATTAATTTAAAATCAAAATAACTCAAAAAAAAACTACGTATATTTTAAATTCATAAATTTTAAATTTTAATTTTATCACGATTCTTATAAAAAAAAAAAAGAAGGACAAGCGTATGTAGCTAAAGAAAAGTGTTAAGGCTAAACACACCAAGAATAAGCAAAGAATCGAGAAGTGGTCCTTGACAATAACATGAACATGATTTGTTGCGCATTAAATTCTTATTATATGAAAATATTTGATCGAACAACAATACTTAATTAAATAACGATAAATTATTATTCGATTGATTGAGATTGTTATTTTTTTATCAACATATTTAATTTTGTTAGGTAACGATAGATTATTACTCGATTAGTTGAGATTGTTATTTTCTTATCAACATGTTTAATTTTGTCTCTGTGCGTTTGTTCATATTACTAATTCTAAGTCTGAATAAAGAAGGAGGATTGTCGAAGGCCAATATAATCTTTTTATTCCATAAACGTGTGCATACAAACCCACTTATGATATTACGTTTTTTTGGGGATTGTTGTCGTGTTTGTAAACCAGATACTAAGAATCTCAAATAGGTGCTGATTTTAGACGTGTGATAATGAATTTGAGTCTCCAATAAATAATCGAGTTAATGATCAAATATCACTTGAACTTTATTAAGCTAAATAATGAATCATAGTCAAACTCGTATTTCTTTACTCTAAAGATATAATTTACTAGAGACAAAAACTTGTCAATAAAAATAACTTTTATCTTTGCAAATTAAAAGTACATTGTGTACACGATTATTATGCTCATATAATAATCTTTTAATTAAAATGGACATAATAATGTGCGATTCAAATTTTATCGAAGTTTAAATATGAACTTGGGATAGGGAATAATAATAAATGTGAAATTGATTTAATATTTGTCCCTTTTTGACTCTATCTTACTTAACTCTTTCCTATATTACCAAAAATCTCAATTCAAATTCCATTTCACTTTTTTTTATCACTCTCTGCATTTTTGACGCTTCGTTTGCTTTTGCTTTTCCTCTTCACCTTTATCTCTCCAATTATTTGAATTTACAGAAGCAAAACGAAAGCATTTTCTCCTCCGCATTCTCTTCTCCAGATCGTTTTCAGGTATTTTTTTTTGAGTTTTCGGTATTTTTATCAATGTACTTTTTGTAGTTTTTTTCAGTTTCCGCAACGGCGAAGTTTTTGTTACTTTTTCCGTTGATTAGTGTTGTTTAATATTAGTATAACAGTTCCTTAAGCAGTTCGGTTTGGTTACTGAGGCGGCGTAGCGGCGGCGGCGGCGGCGGAGGAGTAAACTGTGATTTTGCTGGTGTATGTGTTTTGGTTTGTTTAGAATAGTGCGAGTTATGTGGAAATTTAAGTATATGTAAGTGTTAGGAAAATGAGGAATTGAAGTTTGATGAAATTAGTGAGTAATTTGTGAAGACATTGTAGTAGCAGCTATTTATGGATAAAAAACAGTTTCATAACCTAATTCTATTTATTATTTTCTGTATAGTTATTTCGTACTGGTTTATAGAGCATATAGTTTGAATTGAAGCATGTTGTTGGTATATTAGTGGATGAGATGCTAACCGGTTGCTGCTGGTGTATGTGTGAGGAAAAAGTAACTTTTGAATTTGCTGTTGTACCGGTTTAGTTAGAATAGTATGAGGAATTGTCGAATTTTGTGAAAATTTGAGTTTATGGAAGTGGTATTGTTTGGAAAATGCTGAGCCTGGTAACGTAAGCTTGTAACTCAAGTGAAGGCATTAAGGTGATGAGGACAATTTAAAAAAAAATGAAAAAAATTATTGTAAGGAAAATGAGGATATGAAGTGCTAAGTGATGAAATTATAGAGTAATTTGAGAAGACGTTGTATTAGCTGGATTTATTTGTAGATTTTTTTGTATAGTAGATAGAGTTTAAATTGAAGCATGTTGTTGGCTGGGGAGAATTTAGCGTTTATGGTGTATGTGAACTTGTGGTGTTTCTGCAAAACTAGATATTCTATGTGTATATTTTTTAGAATTGATCTAATAATTACCTTCTGGCACTCATGCTACAAAAAGGTTTTTTGCCGCACTTGGTTGAAAACTAAATTATTTAGTAAAACCAAAAACAACGAGGTAGGGGAACTAATAAGTTAACAACTGAAGGTGAGTTCTTTCATCATGCTCAATCACACGAGGCTTAGTTTTTTTTGTTTTTTTTTGTATTTGTATGTGCTTGCCTCAAATCTTAAAACGCTGCAGACATTATCTCGTCTTCTAGTAATTTCTTTGTAGCCATGTTATCATTATTTTCTTTTCTCATAAGTGCCCCTTTGTTCTCTGTCTTAAGTGCAACATAGAATATATCGAGTCTCATTGATATAAAGTGAACATTATGAATCTTATCTTGCTTTTCTGTATATGTGGTACAAAAGGCTGTCTCTGTTTTTGTTACTTATTATCAATGTCATGCAAGTTTTACTAACACCTATTTTTGTTCTATTAGTTGGTAAAATGCCAGAGATTCAGTTGGGTGCCCATACGTTCAGAAATCAGGGAGTGGAAGTAGCAAGATTTCACATGCATGACTGGTTTATTCTCTTCGTACTTGTGGTGATAGATATAATTTTAAATGTGATAGAACCATTTCACCGCTTTGTTGGATCTGACATGATGACAGATTTAAGTTACCCTTTGAAAGACAATACCATTCCCTTTTGGGCTGTTCCGGTAAGTGCACTTTAGGACAAATTGGGTTTGAGATATTACATAGTTACGAAGAAGTATGCGTGTTTTTTGTACATCTAAGTAGGCATTTTATAATCCATGTCTTTTCCTTGTAAACAGATTATTGCTATAGTCTTACCTTTGCTAGTCATACTTGTGTTTTACTTCATCAGGAAGGATGTTTACGATGTGCATCAAGCTATATTAGGTATTCTTTGCCCCTTATGTGACTATCAGCTTTTGCCTGGCAGCAAGTTATATTGGCTGGTATAGATAACTGGATCAGATTGATAACTTCGTGTGCTTTGTTCAGGATTGTTGTACTCTGTACTCATCAGCTCTGTTCTTACTGATGCAATAAAAGATGCCGTTGGTCGACCCCGTCCAGACTTCTTTTGGCGGTGTTTCCCTGATGGAAAAGGGGTATGTTAATTCGTCTTGGAATATCCTTTCTGTATCAGAAACTGATATGACATCATTTGCGACTTCCAATAATAATTTTGTGTTTAGGTGTTTGATCCGATCACAAGCAATGTCAAATGTACTGGCTTGAAAAGTGTTATCAAAGAAGGACATAAGAGTTTCCCAAGCGGACATAGTTCTTGTGAGTATCACTATTCCATGTCTGTTGCATTGTTGGCATCAGAAATTTGTGATTATTTCCTTTTTGGTACTCGACCCTTTAAACAAAGTGAGCTACCCTTCACTTCCATTCCTTCTTCCAAGGAATCTTTCTTAGTGATGTGAACTGTTTCCTTTTCCTCTGTATTGATATCTTATTCTTCTCCCATTCAACATAGGATTTCACTGCAAGATTTTAGATTGCTTTTCCTTGTAATAAGTACAACTGATCTTTAATAATTATATATAACATACTGAAAAAATGTAACATCTATGCTGTGTTTTCCGGTATAATTCAGTCAAGTACCTGCCAATTTTGTGCAACGATTTGTTAAAATGCCAAATAAGAGTTTTTTGTATTCATCACTACCCTATCACTCCTTTTCCCATATGTTTAACCTATGAATTTTTAATAATAAAGTTTTCACCTCAAATAGTTCAGCCATATTAGTTTGCTGTTTCATAGGTGAGTTTGACTTATGTTTGGATAATCTACATAAGTAGACATCTGGCTCATAACTTGGAATCCTGTAAGTCATAGGTGACTGTGGCTTATGCTTCAATTTTCACCCAGATATGACAATATCAAATATCATGATTCTTTGTGTCTGCATGGGTGTTTGGCTGTTTTATCTAAAGATCTTGGCTTGCTTTGAGTAAATTGAGTTCTTACATAAAACTGAAGCTTGTCGGCATTTGTTGGTATCATGTGAATAGGGTCTTTTGCTGGTCTTGGCTTCCTCGCT